GCTTTTTTCTTTTTGCTTATGTGGTGCTGAGGAATCGAACCCAGGGCCTCATGCATGCAAGGCAAGCACTCTACCACTGAGCCACCTTCCCAGCCCCACTGTTGATGTTTTTTAAGACAGGGTCATGCTGTGAAACTCAGGCTGGCCTTGAACTCACCTCCTCTGCCTTCTGAGAGCTTAGATTATAGGCACACACCACCATTCCCACTTAGGTTTTGTTCTTCCTTCAGTAGCAATGATTTTGTCCACTTACCTTACACTGTTTCCTCCTAACCCTCATTGCAGACATGTCCATGTGAAACACTTTTTTCACCTCTTAAATAAGTAAGAGAAAGCTGGAGCTTAGTGGTAGAGTGCTTGCCTAGCATGGATGAAGCCCTGGGTTCGAGTCCTCAGTACCACATACACAGAAAAAGCCAGAAGTGGCGCTGTGGCTCAGGTGGCAGAGCACTAGCCTTGAGCAAAAGAAACTCAGGAACAGTGTCCAGGCCCTGAGTTCAAGCTGCAGAACTGGCCAAAAAAAGAAAAAAAGTAAAGGATATTTAGCAAGAAACCCTTGAGACACGCACAAGACTTTCCCATTGATTGTGTATTTTTATAGTTTTGCAGTGTTGGGGATTGGCTCCAGAGCTTTGGGCTTGATTTCCATTTGGGCTCTTCCGGTAGCCAGTCCTTTTGTGGATTTTTGTGGGGTTTTTTGTTTTTCGTTTTTTTGGTCCTGGGGCTTGAACTCTGTACCTGGGCGCTGTCCCTGAGCTCTTCAGCTCAAGGTGAGTGCTCTACCACTGGAGCCACAACATCACTTCTGGTTTTCTGTTAGTTAATTTGAGATTATGGACTTTCCTGCCCAGGCTGGCTTTGAACTGTGATCCTCAAGTCTTACCCTCCTGAGTAGCTAGGGTTACAGGCATGATGAGCCACTGGTGCCCAGGTGTTTTTGTTTTGTTTTTCAGACAGAATCTTGTTATCTTTACCTTGGCTGGCCTCAAGCTCAAAGTCTTCCTACCCCTGTCTCCCAAGTAGCTGGGATTATAGGTGTACGTCTCCAGGAATCCCTTTCTGCTTTTACAAAGCAGTCATTCTTGTGGTGTTTTACTTTTCTCTTTCAAAAAAGAAATGTGGTATGTGGTTGTTAATTCAGTTATTTAGAGCACTGTGTTAACAAGGAGCCACAGTTCCCAGGCCCTTCCTTCCTTGTGGTGAGCTTTTTCTACTCTGACCACAGACCTGTCCCTGCCTCTTCTGGCTGGGCTGCAGGGCAGAGATCATGAACAAGAAGTGCAGAGGCTCAGGAAGCGTGGTCTTCACCAGTGGGCAGACAGAGCCAGGGGTCTGTGGTCAGACGCCAAGAAGTGTGTGAGGAGGACAGAGGAGCATGCCATAGGCATTCCATTGTAGCTCATTTACATGTCTTCTGCCGCTCATTGTTAGTTTCTCAGCTTCATTTGAGGATTTGTTTAGTAAGGATGACTGTGGGAAAACATTCCTATAGTGTACTCTTTCTCCTTTAAGTTAAGTGAAGACAGTTTAGATTTTACTAACTCTCCATATGTGTCATTATGGGAAAAGTGATGTCTTTGGAAGAGGATAAAAACGTTCCAATAAAGAATTGCCTTAATGAAGTGGTGGCTTGGGTTGGGTTTAACATTGTGTGAATTAACTTTTGTTTTCTGATTGCTCGTGCAGCTCCCTCCGTACAGCGGGACAGCTCTGTGTGGCACACAGGCTGCAGATGACCTGCCTGACGGTAAGCTGGTGCTCTCTTACTTTCTGACTGACTTCTGGCCGTGAGTGCTACCAGGTGGCAGGGCTACCTGCAGACACGTGAACCCACAAGTCATACTTGTGAGCCAGCATTTCCTTTCAGCTTGCAGTTCTTGCCATGAACTGGAGCATATTAAATCACAGAACCACTGACTGCTGGATGTGTAGTTGGATTGATGCTGTACCTGTGTGTTAGCTATTCAAGGTTCAGTTTTGGAGGTGGCTGTTGCATTCTTTGTTCCTTAACAATCCTCAGTGCTCAAGCATGTCTTAGCCACATGGCCCACTTCTAAGGGGCTTCTGTGTCCTATTGGTGAGGAGCCTCCTGGGTCTGGGCTGGCTGACCTCTGAGTGAGTGTGCTTTGTACAACCAGGGGCAACTTGGAGCTATTGTTCCTGCAGTTTGTATTTACATGCAGACTTCACAAACCCTATGGAAATCCAGATAAATAGCTTCATTTCTTGGTCTGTTCCTTTCCTGAAGTTTATCATAGATCCTAGCCTGATTGCTTGGGATGGTGTTTGTGAAGACTCAGCATTGTTTGGTGTGGTAGCAGGTTTGAAGTGGTGGCCATGGAGTCGTGCAGCTACACAGCAGTAGGCTCAAGCCTGTCGGAACCATTTCCAGTGTGGATCACAGTAAAGGCACTTGTTGGCCTCCAGGAAGCTGAAAGAAAAATATTTTCTCAGTCAGGGATTGGGTAGCCTGTTTGGTTGGCATGATTAGATGTGCAGAAATGTTCTAATTACAGTTTACATTTATATGTACACTTCAAAAGACAAGTCTGTATGTAGTCACATCCCAAAGTGATAAGATCTGAAGTCATTCTGAGTGGTGCAGACAGCAGTAACATAGGAGAGCAGATTCAATAATAGCTTAGAACAATTAGTAAAATAAATGTAGTTCCAGGGACCCAAAGTTAGTTGCTTAGCCTGCTGAGACACTGTTCCCGGGTCTGCGGGACATCCTCTGTCTCAGCTGTGCACGGAGCTGGTGTGCCACAGGGGCTCATCGAGAGCCTGGGGATGCCCGTCATGCCTTCCGTTCACTTGGCTCTTTCTGGTTAGTGAGCGGCCTCATCCTTCACTCTGTACCTAGCCTTAGTGCACAGCTTCCGCATCCCCTCACCCACTCTTCCGTTCTCTGCTGCCTTCCCTTTCAGTCTGTCATATTCTCTGCTGGAAAGAGCTGGACTCTTTTTTATCAGCTGCATGAGTAGGGCCAGGCCTGCTTGAAGGCCTCTTTCTCCTGAAGTCTGTTGGGCTCTGGGTATCCTTTACTTTGGTTTCTCTCACAGGACCTGCTCTGCTGTGTGGTAATGACTGCCTTCTTAGATCATGACCAGCTGTGGATGGCAAGGAACATACTCATTTCTGAGTGTCTGTCAGCTGTATACCAGCTGTGTTCATAAACTTTCCCCATGTTTGTGGGGTGAACGAATACTTTAAAATGCTGTTCCTCTGTGCTGCCTCTCACTGCAGACCATGTGAGTGAGCTCCCTGAGCAGCTTCTCTCACCACGTGTGCTTTAGATAGCGCCTAAGAAGGCTCTTCTCACTCCTGTCCCCAACCAGTTATCCTTCAGCTTCCATGGAGCCCTGTTGCTTGATTGAAGCAGGTTACCCTTTTCTCTATCCAGAGGTGTTCTTTTTAACAAAGCTATTCATAGTCTTGTCTTGCCCTTTTGCTTCCGTGTTTGGGTTAGGACTTCCTTAGCTCCTGGCGTTGATGGGAAACCTCCCAGTCCTGCCTGCAGCCTGGGTCATTGCCGTGCCCTGCGCGCTGAGGAGCCTTAGAGGTGTGCTGCCTGAGCAGACCCAAGTTTACCGGGGCTTGTTCTCCTCCTTGCAACTAACCCATCTCCTTGCGGGTACTGAGGTTGAGTTCCCGTCTCCCCGTTGTTAGCAGGCCTCCCTGTCCTTCCCAGCCTAGCAGACCGGGCTAGGCTGTGAGTGTTCCGCAGCTAGAGGAGGAGCTGTCCTGCCTCCATCTGCCTGCAGTTAGGGGTTCACAGTGTGCTGTTTTGGTAGTCACTGTACCACTGAGGCACTTCTTTGCTGTCACATAACATTCTAGAATGTTTTTACTCTGATAAGTGAGAATTGAGATTGTCTCTTGGAACTAATCGATTTTGCACAAGCTGCACAGTGCGTTCTAACTTTAATGTGATTTCACAACATACTCCATCTCAGAGAGGAGGCCCCTTTCCCGATGAATGTCCTGCATATCTCTTGGACACTCATTTCAGCCCCTGTGGCCAGCATCACAGTGATACTTGAAAGCAGAACAGATGGCCAGTCCTAGATACAGGTGATAACAATTTATTTTTTTCCTCTTATTTTTCTTAAGAGTAAGGGGGAAAGATTACATTGATAATTTCATTGTATTAGTAGTTTCATATGTAAACTTGTAGGCACTTACTACTTTTCTAAGAATTACGTTTTGCTTTTGGTTAGGATTATAGCCCTTAATATCAGCTTGAGATCAAAACAAATGAACAGTTCTAGACACTCTGGGCCCGTTTCCTGCCTTTCCTGTAACTGGCACCTAACTGGGCTCTCTCTTGTTCTGTTTTTCCTCTTTCAAAAAATGTTCTTTTTTTTTTTGGTCGGTCGTGGGGCTTGAACCTCTGGGCTTGGGCGCTGTCCCTGCACTCTTCAGCTCAAGGAGAGCACTCTGCCACTTGAGCCACAGCGCCACTTCCGGTTTTCTAGTGGTTTATTGGAGATAAAAGTCTCACAGGCTTTCCTACCCAGGCTGGCTTTGAACCTTGATCCTCAGATCTCAGCCTCCTGAATAGCTAGGATTACAGGTGTGAGCCACCGGTGCCCGGCTACCTGTATCTTTATTATTGAAGTCTTCGCCACTCATGGCATTAATCTAGTAAGAGTTCACTTAGTTGACAGTTACCCCTATTCATCTAAGGGCCACTTTGAGGCCTTAGTTAAAGAGGTCAGTGGAGGAGACTAAGAGAAAGACACTGGAAGTGCTCTGAAGTGACTTAGGCGTGGTAGCTATAGAGAAGCCCTGGTAACAATGTCTTATGGCTTAAATTATATTGTCCAAAGTACATATTTTCTTCCTCAGACATAAAGTAAGCTGTAGTAAAGTGTATCCAGGGTCTGGGAGCATAGATCACGTAGATGTGCACTATCTATCCATCGGTCTTTTTTTTTTTTTTTTTTTTGGTCGATGGTAGGGCCTGAACTCTGGGCCTGGGTGCTGTCCCTCAGCTCTTCAGCTCAAGACTAGCACTCTGTCATTTGAGCTACAGCGCCACTTCCGGCTTCTTCTGCTTATGTGGTGCTGAGGAATCAAACCCAGAGCTTCAAGCATGCAAGGCAAGCACTCTACCACTGAGCCACCTTCCCAGCCCCATCTGTCTAGTTTTGTGCTGGTTCCAAGGCTTGAACTCAGGACCTTGAGCTCTCAGCTTTTACTCTCAGGCTGGCACTCACTTAAGACACACTTCCAACCTAGCTTTTCTGGTGCTACTTAGAGATAGGAGTCTCATGGATTTGTCTGCCAGGTTGCCTTCAAACCTCGATCTCCAAAACTCATCCTTCTTGGGCAGCTAAGATTCTAGGCGTGAGCCATCAGCGTCTGGTGGTTTTGTGTCTTTATTAAAAACATGTACTCTTTCACTGAGCTGTAGTCTCAGTGTTAAGGTTTTTTTTGGTTTTTCTTGTTTTTGGGTCCGGTCGTGGGACCTGAACTCTGGGCCTGGGTGCTGTCCCTCAGCTCTTCAGCTCAAGGCTAGCGCTCTACCACTTGAGCCACTTCTGGCTTTTTTCTTTTTGCTTATGTGGTGCTGAGGAATTGAACCCAGGGCCTCATGCATGCAAGGCAAGTGCTCTACCACTAAGCCACCTTCCCAGCCCTCGTTTTTGTTTTTAATGGTGTTTTTTAAGTAGGTAAAATACCTTATTTATTTAGTTAGTTAGTTAGTTGGTCACGGGGCTTGAACTCAGTCTGGGCGCTATCCCTCAGCTCTTCAGCTCAAGGCTAGTTCTCTACTACTTAGGGCCACAGCGCCACTTCTGGTTTTCTGGTGGTTAATTGGAGATAAGAGTCTCATAAACTTTCCTGCCTGGGCTGGCTTTGAACTCCAATCCTCAGATCTCAGCTCCTGCGTAGTTAGGATTACAGGCGTGAGCCACCAGCACCCATCTACTACTTAGTTTTTATTTCAAATTTATTTGAACTTCTACATTCTGAAAATCTTCCTTAGCTGTGCAGGGTGTATAGGCTTTTGTATTTTATATTCTCAGTTAAATATAATTGAAGTTGCTACTACTTTCAACCTATTTATTCCACACAAAACATCACAACTTTAATTAATAAAATAATTTTTAAGATTTCGGTTTTCAGAAAGAAACCAAGTAGTTTATCAGTACTTTTTTAGCATTGGTAGCGTGGTGTGTTTAGCTAGTAAAATATTTACTAATTGCTTTTTTCTCTAAACAGGACAAGAATATCAGAGAATTGAGTTTGGTGTTAATGAAGTAATTGAGCCCAGTGATCCCTTGCCAAGAACCCCCAGCTACAGTATTTCGAGCACATTGAATCCTCAGGCCCCTGAGTTTATTCTTGGCTGTACAACTTCCAAAAAGACCCCTGATGGCATAGATAAAGATGCCAGCTACAGTTCCATTGACTGCCAGTACCCAGGCTCTGCCCTGGTTTTGGAGAGCAGTTCTACTGTGGAGGCAGAAGTTTTAGAAGGTGATGTTTCAGGTGGCTTTGGACAGAGGGAGCGTAAAAAGAAGAAGAAGCGGCCACCTGGGTATTACAGCTACCTGAAGGATGGCGGCGACGAGAGTATTTCCCCAGAAGCCCTGGTCAATGGCCATGCCAACTCTGCAGTTTCCAATAGCGTCGGCATGGAGGACGCAGACTTTATGGGGGATGTGCTCCTGTCGGTTACGCCCAGGACTTGTAACAGCCCCCAGAACTCCATTGACTTCATCAACGACACTGTGCCTGGCAGTCCTTTCCCCGGAGCACTGGACGATGGCGATGCCAGGACTGCAGGGCCGCCTGAGGGCTGCCATGGGGCTGACCACGCGCAGCCCTGCCTCTCTGCAGATAGCCCGCTAAGGACAGCAGTGGCACAGCCCTACATTGGCCCCTGTACTACTGAGGACCTTCCAGTTGCTAACGGACAAATACTTGAATCCTCGGGCCAGGGCACAGCTGCCAACGGGGTGGAGTTGCACGCCGTAGAGAGCATAGACTCGGACCCTGCTAAGCTCGGGAGCGCATCCCCTCCTGCCGAAAGCGCGGTTTCTGCGTCGGGCGCCATTCCCATTAGTCAGCCTGCCAAGTCCTGGGCCAGCCTCTTCCATGATTCTAAGCCCTCTTCCTCCTCGCCTGTGGCGTGTGTGGGAACTAAATGCTCCCCTCCTGCCCCATCCCCCCTGGTCTCTGAAAAGCATATTGAAGTCAAAGAAGGGCTCGTTCCAGTTTCAGAGGATCCTGTAGCCATAAAGATTGCAGGTACAGTCTAACAGGTGCAGGTTGAGTGGAGGTGGAAGCCAACCTGCTGAATCGAGACAGTCATGGCTTACTCACTGAGCTGGATTGCTAGCGCAGCAGTTGTAGACCACCAGTGCATTTACAGTATCTAAAAGTAAAGTAATCTAAAAATCAAGAAAGGGCTGGAGATGCAGCTCAGCGGTAGGGTGTTGGCCTACCATGCACAAGGCCCTGGGTTGGATCCCTAGTGCTGGAGAAAAAGGCGTCGGGGGAGGGAGAGGAGTGTCATGCCTTTGTGTTAAGTGGAAAAGCATTCATGTCTATTATGAATTCTTTTTGATTAACAAATTCTGTTTCTATTTCTTGCCTTTGATAAAAAAAATTCTGTTCTACTGTTTGTATAATGAACTTGTTACAGCTGTTAAATACTGTTGATGTGATAATTTCTGAGTGGTACTCACTTTGTACTCTGGTTTTTCTTAAGATATAAGCAGGTGTTTTGTGACTAATCCAGGGGCTTTTACTTAGAATGAACAGTGTTCATTGTCAGGTGTAGTAGCAAGCTGTAAAGTTCATCCTGTTATGGGTGCCTGGAGTTTCATTAGAAATAAAAGCAAGTTCTTTTGGATGGCAGTAGGGTGACAACAAGTAGTTCTGTCTTAAAAAGAGAACATTTATGGCCAGGTATGGTGTTATATCCCTGTAATCACAGCACTCAGCTGAGGCAGAAGGCTTGTGAGTTTGAAGTAAGCCTGAGCTATGTAGCAAGTTCCTGTGCATTAAAATAAAAAGCAAGAACTTTAATTCTTTTTTTGTTTTGAGACCAAGACTCCTTATGTAATTCAGGTTGGCCTGGAACTCTTACTTGTTTTTGTGCTGGTACTGAGGCTTGGGACTCAGGGCCTCACGTACTTAAGTTTTTCACTCAGGGCTGGTGCTCTACCACTAGAACTACTCCTCTGCTTCTGACTTTTTGCTGGTTAATTGGAGATAAGCGCCTTATGGAGTTTTCTGCCTGGGCAGACTACACCACGATTCTCAAATCTCAGGCTCCTGAGAAGTTGGAATTCTAAGCATGAACTACCATGCCTAGCTTGGCCTGCTTCATTTATTATATTTCAATTACAATGTATTCATTACAAGGACCCACTTTCCCAAAGGTAGTGTAAGCCTTAAGCCATTGTGCAGTGTGGTTTAAAGTTTAGTTTTACTCTGTACTGGTAAGTGCATGCTGAGGTGCTTTTTAAAATGTTCATTCTGAGTTCAGAATCATGGAGCATTGGGTGCCCACAGTTACTTTGCAGAGGCAAACTTCCTACACTGGAGAAATGTTCTCACTGTCTTTAAAAGGAGAAAGAAAAGCTTTATTTAAAATAATTTGCAACACTATCCACAGGACTAGAGGCGTGCTATGTTAGTGTTGCCTGTGTTTCAGTCTAAAGTTGATGTGCTTTTTTAAGGCCCTTGGAGAGGGGCTCGGGGTCTCCTGCCCACCTGTGCTGGTGCAGAGGGTGTTGCCACACAGTCAGCTGTGTTGTTGTCTTCTAGTGGTGTGATCAGTGCTAACCAGACTCAGTTCCTTAGTCCTGCTTAGGTTAGGCCAGTTTGAAAGGTGTGTTAACTGTCTGAGCAGAAGCACGATTCCTTTCAGAGTTCTCATTGCTTTGTGCCTGCTTGTTGGCTGCTTTCAGCATTTCCCTGTGAAGTCCTACAGTGGTGGTAGTCACACACGGGTGGGGTCAGGACTAGGTGCAGTGGCAGTCTGGAGTTCCTTTCTTTTTGTCATGTTCTACCTGTGGAAATACTTCATAGGAATATGTTATGGATCAGATTCAATGTCATAGATTCCCTTTAACAGGAATTCCCCTTAGTCTAAATTTAGACTTTTCTTTTTTAAAAATTAATTTCTTTTTTAAAAAATTTATTTTTTGTTTATGTGGTATCAAGGAATTGAACCCAGGGCCTCATGGATGCTAGGCAAGCACTCTACCGCTAAAACATATTCCCAGCCTTAAAAATTAGGTTATTTTTAAAGGTCTTGAACTCTGGGCCTGAGTGCTGTCCCTCATTCAGCTCAAGGCAAGCGCTCTACCACTTGAACCACAGTACCACTTCCGGTTTTCTGGTGGTTTATTGGAGATCAGAGTCTCATGGACTTTCCTGCATGGGCTGGCTTTGAACAGCAATCCTCAGATCTCAGCCTCCTGAGTAGCTAAGATGACAGGCATGAGCCACCGGTGCCTGGCACCAGTTTTTGATCCCAAATTAGTTTAGTTTTTTTTCCAGTGTCCACCTTTCTGGACAAGGTCCCCTGTCAATAAATCTGCTTAAGTAAAAGCTTACTTATTTTTATATAACCTAAGGAAATTGGTATTAGGAAGGCAAATCAATTGTAAAGTGGATCAGGAATGACACGTGAAGCAATTAGAGTGAAGTACTAGCCCACCTTGATTCCTCATATCCATTTATCCCCTTGAAGCCTGCTGCTTGCAGGGCCCCCTTGTCTGTGTCAACATTTTATACCATTGGCGTTCTCCTCCTACCGGTAAGCCCATGTCCAAGAGATGTGAAGGATGAGCGTGTCACTGGAACACTAACCCCAAAAGAAGTATGGATTTAAATAAAGCAGGCCTTCTTAGGAGTAGAGTTCATGTCTGGGGATATTGGCCATTTTCATTAGGAATAATAGCCAGGAAGGGAAGAGGAGGGAATTTGAACATGTGAATAGCTTGTATAGGGCAGTGGCTGCAGAATGTCTCACTTACCACATTCAGGGGTAAGTGTGATGAGTACGCCTGCCGCCTGCCCACGTTAGCACATTTGGCACTCTACATACAAAGCTGCAAGTGGCACTTGAGGCACAGTGCCACTTCTGGCTTTTTCTGCTTACATGGGGCTGAGGAATCGAACCCAGGGCCTCAAGCATGCAAGGAAAGCACTCTGTCACTGACCCAGACTAAACTGTCATTGAGTGTTATAGCACAGCTATTTTATGCTTCATGTTTCAAAGTCATATTTCTGTATAGCTCTAAATGTACCTGAATGATCTGTCCAAGTAAAACTGCAATGAAAGAGAACTAGGTAAAACCTGCTTTTGGAGCCTTTAGCCACATCATCTACTGTGTTGGCTGGTCTGTGATGTGGCACAATGGTTTTATCCCACAGTAGTTGCTAGAGAGCAACAGAGCTATTACAAATTGACTAAATTTCCATGTTCACATGCATTTTATGTAAAAACCAAAATGCGTCCTAAGACTTGTTCTGTGTTTTGGTGGTTTAAAAGTCATACACATACACATACCCTTTAATGGGAAAGATTTTCAAGTAGTTTTGAGTGTACTTCTTTTTGTGCTGGACATATGCACTGTTTCTGAGCTTTTTTGCTCAAAACTAACACTCTACCATTTGAATCGCAGCTCCACTTTCTGCTTTTTTTTTTTTTAAGTGGTTAATGAGAGATAATAGTCCTGTGAACTTTCCTGCATGGGCTAGCTTTGAACTACGATCCTCCGATCTCAAGATTCTAGGCATGCAATGATCAGAGAGAGTGCTCGATCTGAGGAAGTATTGCCCCTTTGTAGAGCACTACTCCTGTGGATGGAGTGTCCAGCCTGTAGCGAGTTTCATGTGCTCTTGTGCTATCTCTGTTGTGAACCGACCTGAGACCCTTTGGTGCTGGCACGTTCTTTGCTTTGTTGCCCTCCCCCTGCGTGGGCACAGTAGCCTGTGTTTTGCGCAGTGATGATGATGATAAGGAAAGCCAGGGCGTGTCCTAGGCGGCTGAGGTGACAGCTGTAGGTCAGCAGCCCAAGTGTAGTCCCCTGTCACAGGCCAGTTATTTTAGCCAGGGGAATGAGCGGAAGTTCTGCACCTTGCATTTTATGGATTTTTAAATGTTAATAGGACCAAATTTTAGGAAAACAAACTTTGATACATAGAAATCTGTGTAAAAATAACCGTAGCTTCTATTGGGAAAAGTTTACAATGCTAGTACTGATCTTGAGTATATAAATTATTTCGGTTGAATCATTTGTGGCAGAGTGTGAACTTCATGTATCTCAAGATAAAGGATGTGAAGCAAGTTAGTTTTTCTGTATGTTAACAGATTTCATAAGAAAGTTGAATAAGAATTTAGCCTGCGTTTTCACAAGAGTGGTGATAAGAGTTTCAGTGTTTCAACTTTTGAGTCATGTGGACATTTCTTCCTGTTCCATCAACACTGTTCTGGGCAGCTGAACCCACTAACTATAGTTGATGTTAACACTGCTATATTTGCTTTAGACTTTTTTTTTGGGGGGGGGTCCAGTCGTGGGGCCTGAACTCTGGGCCTGGGCGCTGTCCCTCAGCTCTTCAGTTCAAGGCTAGTGCTCTACCACTTGAGCCACAGCGCCACTTCTGGCTTTTTTCTTTTTGCTTATGTGGTGCTGAGGAATCAAACCCAGGGCCTCAGGCATGCAAGGCAAGCACTCTACCACTGAGCCACCTTCCCAGCCCAGACTTTTTTTTTTTTTTTTAATGCTAGTCCTGGGACTTGAATTCAGGGCACTGATCCTGGGCTTCTTTGCACATTTGAGCCACAGCTTCACTTAAGGCTTTTTGGTGTTAATTGCAGATAAGAGTCTCACACACTTTCCAGGCTGGCTTCAAACCAAAACCCTCAGATCTCAGCCTCTTAGTAGCTAGTATTACAGGTGTGAGCCACTGACACCTGGCCAGATCTTGTTTTTCAGGGGATTTCTATCCAGATGGTGGAATGCTGGTACTACAGAGCCCACAGTGACACAGGAAAGCCACAGGTAGCCCGGGGAAGAAACTGCTTTCAGTCAGACTTATTGGGAGAATGGAACTGGGGCCTTTTGACAATGCTTATAACAGGTGGAAACTGTATTTTGGTGTATGAAATACTACTAGAATGCAATTTTAGGATCACGATTCAAAGCCAGCCTGGGCAGGAAAGTCCGGGAGACTTATCTCTAATAAACCACCAGAAAACCGGAAGTGGCGCTCTGGCTCAAGTGGTAGAGCACTCTCCTTGAGCTGAAGAGCTGAGGGACAGCGCCCAGGCCCAGAGTTCAACCCCTGGGACTGACCAAAAAAAAGAAAAAAAAAATCTAGATTGCTGACAGCTCTCCAGTCTGTTCTCTTAAAGACTCTGAATCTAAGAATAAATAGTGTGTGGGGTCCTTTGAAAGACGGATGAAGGTGGAAAGAAGTGGCTGAGCACCCTCTCTAGTGAGTGCACCCAGTGTGCTTTGGCTCCGCAGCTGGGTTCTGAGGTTCTGCTTTTCCTTTTGTTTGGTTCTTGCAGTTACTGTACATGCCACTAGGTGATGCTAAGACCCCGGAACGTAATGTTATAGGAAAGGTACAGACTTAAAAAACACCTACCCATCAGATAATCTGAAAAGCAAACCAGAAGTTATGTCAGTTATTAGTTCCTGCAGAGAGTTCAGGTAGAGGGGATAGTTCTTTTTTTTTTTTTTGCGTCCGGTTGTGGGGCCTGAACTCTGGGCCTGGGTGCTGTCCCTCAGCTCTTCAGCTCAAGGCTAGCACTCTACCACTTGAGCCATAACGCCACGCCTGGCTTTTTTCTTTGTGCTTATGTGGTGCTAAGGAATCGAACCCAGGGCCTCATGCATGCAAAGCAAGCGCTGTACCACTGAGCCACCTTCCCAGCCCGAGGGGATAGTTCTGACCTGTGTAATTTCCCAAGTGCTCACAGGAAAGGAATGGGTTTGTAGTTGGCTTCAGGTTGGGTGTGCTCCAGTGGCCAGGGCTCCAGGCTGCTGCAGTCATGCTGGCCAAGCTCACCGCGGTCACGGCAGGAGCTTGTTCCTGTGTGCTGGCTTGTCCTGTGTTCCCCTGGGGAGCAGAGTCCTGTGGTCATGAATGGTGTTGACCATCGGTAGTTGTGTTTCTGAGTGTTCAGAGTAGTCACACAGGAGGGGGGACTGGGAAGGTGGCTCAGTGGTAGAGTGCTTGCCTTGCATCCATGAGGCCCTAGGTTCGATTCCCCTCCCCCCACCCCCCCCCAAAAAAGAATGAAAAACAGAGTAATCACACAGGAGGGAAGTTTCGCATGTGTCGTGGAGGCCTGGCCTTGCTTGGTTCCTTCAGCTGACATCCATGCCTTCAAGACCTGTCCCCATCTCTCCTCAGACTGCGCCTGGAAGATTGAGGGCTCTCCCACCCAGAAACTGGAGTGTGTCCTTCTCACTCCCAGCTCTTTCCCTCCTGTGCCCTGCTGCTGGCCAGGCCTCCTGCTGAGTGGTCCACACTTGTTCTCTGCTCTTGTCATCTGAGTGCATGCTCTCCCCCTTGTGCTGCAGCAGCGCCTGTGTGTGTGTGTGTATGTGTGTGCGCGCGCATGCACACACACGCGTGATGCAGCAGGAAAGATGAATCCTCCCTGCAGTGGAGAAGCTGTGCACGTTGAATGACTTGTGCCTGAGTCTTGGACCTGGTGCAGATAGCCAACACGCGCCCATGTTGTGTGTCTGAAAAACAATACAGGTCCAGGAGCCACACACTGTGGCCACCCAGGTCCTGTATAGTCACAGGCCTCAGTTTCTTCAGAGTAAGTCCAGCCAGTTAGCACTGGTGAGGGTAAAGCACTGCTTGGGGTCATGTCCACGGTCCCAGCCAGTGTTCTCACAGTATTCTTAATGCTGCCCAGGTCTGGGAGACCTGTCTTGTTTGAAGATTTTTTTTCCCTTCTTTTTGGCTGGTATACAGTTTGAACTCAGGACCTGGACTCGGGCTCTCTTGCCTACCTGGTTGATGCTCTTCCCCTGGAGCCACGCCTCCAGCCTCTGTTTTAGAGCATTATTGGTGGTGCATCGCTAAAGTGGGATTTTCGTAGCTTTCTTGAGGCCGAAGAGCTGTCAGCAGGTGAATCTGAGGGCTGAGTGTGAGAGGCTGCATAAACTATGCATAACTGCATAGTTTAGGGAACAGGTTGAATTGGACTGTGAATGGAGAAACAGTACTGTCACCAGAGAGAGGGTCTTTACTCACTGCAGCCAGTGGGCACCATGGTGCTGTGCTGGGCGTGCTGTCAGCTACTGGAGTTCAGATGTAGTGTGTGCGTGTGAAAGGCCCACTTAGTGTCAGAGAGACCTGGTCAGCAGGGAAGGGGAAAATCCCCTCTCCAGCCTCTTCCCTAATGTGTTGCTTTATGTGTTTTCTGGTAATTGTGCTCCTTGGTATATGCAGGTGCGAAGGTCAAGACAAAGAAGAATGGGCTGGGGGCGGTTTAAACTAAATGAGGTGTTAACAAAGGAGTTTTGACAGGTAACCTGCCTTTTGGAAAGGATGTGTACACATGTGGACTAGAAGCTGTGAAGGGGTTTAAGGGCTGCTCCTGGGAATGTCTTTAATCTCTGACACATGCTTCTTGACTCTTTCAGAGCTGCTGGAGAATGTAACCCTAGTGCATAAGCCCGTGTCCTTACAACCACGGGGGCTGATCAATAAAGGAAACTGGTGCTACATTAATGCTGTATCCTTCTTGGACGCACTCCTCCCCCCACCCTGGCTGGCTGGGGTCTCCGCCTGGGTGCATTGGACTTAGGACAGCTTCCTCAAGGCAACTAGTTCATTACTTGGTCTGCCCACCTCGTAGATAGGGTGGTCCTAACCCCAGCTACTCCGCCCTCCAAAAGGACGTGTGGAACAGCTGATGACAATCATTCTCTTACTGGCTTGGGATGGCCCAAGCAATCAAACAGTGAATCCCTTGTGTTGTGATGTGGGCGCCAGCCTTCTCCTGGGTTTACAGGCATGCACGGCCTTGCACAACAAGACAGCGTTCTTAAATGGCTATTTGATTTGTGTCTGTGCTAGGGCTTGAACTCAGGAATCCAAGTTCTCTTTTTCTCTCTCAGCTGGCATGCTACCATTTGAGCCACACTTTCCACTTGCAGGTTTTTACTGATTAATTGGAGATGAGACACGCATGGACTTCCTTGCCTGGGTGGGCTTCAAACCAGTCCTCAAATCTCAGCCTCCCGAGGAGCTAGGATTATAAACATGAGCCCAGTGCCTAGCTTCCAAATTCTTGCGTGTAAAGCTGACCCCTGGATCCTTACATGGACGCAACAAGGCAGCTGTCCTGTGACTAGTTGGTTTATTCTTTTTGGGTTTTTGTCTTCTTGGTTTCTTTAGTTTTTTTTTTTTTTTTTTTAATGCTTCTGTGTGTATGTGTGTGTGCTGATCCTGGACCTTGTCCTTGAGCTTTCTTTGCTCAAGGCTAGTACTCTATTACTTGAGCCACAGCTCCACTTCTGGCTTTTTGGTGGTTAGAGATAAGGGTCTCATATACTTTTCTGCCTGGGCTGGCTTTGAACTAGTCCTTAAATCTCAACCTCCTGAGCGGCTAGGATTATAGCTGTGAGCACCAGCGCCCGACATAAGCTCTTGTATTTAATATGTGTCAAGGGAAGTGCTGGGGTTGTTTCCTTTCCTTTACTTGTCTTCCTGCCACAATCCAGACACTGCAGGCCCTGGTTGCCTGCCCTCCAATGTACCACCTGATGAAGTTCATCCCTCTGTACTCCAAAGTGCAAAGGCCTTGCACGTCGACACCCATGATAGACAGCTTGTAAGTAAGGGGTCAGTCTTCAAGGGAGTGGGACTTCCCAGGAGTCATTCAAATTTGAGGAGTTAAAACAATCCTGAGGGGCTGGGAAGGTGTCTCAGTGGTAGAGTGCTTGCCTTGCATGCATGAGGCCCTGGGTTGGATTACTTAGCACCACATAAGCAAAAAGAAAAAAGCTGGAAGTGGCGCTGTGGCTCAAGTGGTAGAGCACTCGCCTTGAGCTGAAGAGCTGAGGGACAGGGCCCAGACCCAGAGTTCAAGCCCCACAGCCAACCCCCCCCCCAAAAAAAAATCCTGATATCCTACACTTCGAATTGTCTAGTTAAAAAGATGCATCATTTGTGATTATGAATGGAATTCGTAAACTTAACTAGAAATGGAGTGTTGTGTATCTGTGTTTCTCAGATTCAGTAGAGAACAATGTAGCCCTTAGCAGGTTAAAATTACACTTAAGCTTGGCAGTGGTGGCTCACGCCTGTAATCCTAGCTACTCAGGAGACTGAGATCTAAGGATCACGGCTCAAAGCCAGCCTGGGCAGGAAAGTCCATGAGACTCTTATCTCCAATAAACCACTAGAAAACAGGAAGTGGTGCTGTGGCTCAAGTGGTAGAGCACTAGCCTTGAGCTGAAGAGCTGAGGGACAGCGCCCAAGCCCAGAGTTCAAGCTCTACAACTGACCAAAAAATAATAATAATAAAATTACACTTAAATTATGTCAAAACTATATGAAAGCCAGGTGCTGGGGACTCATGCCTGTCATCCTAGCTACTCAGGAGGCTGAGATCTGAGGATCATGGTTCAAAGCTAGCCTGGGCAGGAAAGCCCATGATACTCATATCTCCAAGTAACCACCAGAAAACTGAAGTGGTGTTGTGGCTCAAGTGGTAGAGGGCTAGGGTAGCCTTGAGCTGGAGAGCTGAGGGACAGCACCCAGGCCCAGAGTTCAAGCTCCACAACCGACCAAAAGAAAACCCAAAAAACTATTACTGTAGTCAAGATTTAAGGATTCACTAGTTATTGTAGCATTGATCACCTACAATCTACTGTACTCACACTGTGAATATTCTACTTAGCCATTTGTAGTTGCACTTCAAGTATGTCTTCTTAAAAATGTGCTTTTCCTCCCCGTTTAGTGTTCGGCTAATGAATGAGTTCACCAACATGCCAGTGCCCCCCAAGCCCCGGCAAGGTAAGTAAGTTGCTGCCTGGAGTAGGAGTGGGCCTCTTGGACTACAGGCAGTTTGGGGAGGGGGCCCATCCATCCATCTATCCATTTATCCATTGTGAGACTTGAACTCAGAGCCTGGACTCTGTTCCTGAGCTCTTTTGCTCAAGGCTAGTACTCTTCCCACTTTGAGCCACAGCATCACTTTCAGTTTTTTTGTGGGTTAATTGGAGATAAGAGTCTCATAGACTTTGCCACCTGCCCAGGCGAGGCTGGCTTTGAACTGCGATCCTCAGATCTCAGCCTCCTGAATAGCTAGGATTGTAAGCGTGAGCCACTGATGGCCGGTTCTCTGTCCTTTTACTTAAAACACCCATGTCTTGTTTATCTTGCAGCTCTTGGGGATAAAATCGTGAGGGATATCCGCCCTGGAGCTGCCTTTGAACCCACGTACATTTATAGACTCCTGACGGTTATCAAGTCGAGCCTGTCTGAGAAGGTGTGTGACTGCCAGATGGAGTTAGAAGGGGTGTGCCACCTTGCACCTCTGCCTCCGTCTCCAGTGTTGGGACCTGTGTTCAGGATGAGACACCCAGGTTGATGGAGTAGCTGTTGGAGGTGTTTAAAGTGTGTGGTTCTCGTCTTACAGTGAGACCGAGCATAAGAGCTCTCGATATAGTTGGTCACCTGTGATCTGAGCCCTTTCCTGACCGCTCCCCACCAGGTGAATGCAGGAGGCGGGGGCTCAGCTGCTGACTGCTGAGTGTCTGAGGGAGGAGAGCGAGCCCTGGGCTCCTGTGCTGACGAGCCAGATATCCTGCTCTTGCTGCTACTTCATTTGAACAAAGAAAGCAAATTTCCCCCCAGTACTGGGAGGGAAACCCTGTGGTTGCTGGGCAGGCACAATTACCACCCCTACTTCTACCTTCTCAGTTTATTTTTTTCAGATAGTCGCCTACTTTTGCCTACGCAGACCTCAAATCTCAGTCCTTCTACCTCTCCTTCCCACGTAGATGGCGCTACAGCAAAACAACCATGTACCCAGCTCAAACAAGTGTGTGTGTGTGTGTGTGTGTGTGTGTGTGTGTGTGTGTGTGTGTGTGTGTGTGTGTGTGTGTTTTGGTTGGTCACGGGGCTTGAACTCATGGCCTGGCTGCTATCCTTGAGCTGTTTGGCTTAAGGCTAGCGCTGTACAACTTTGAGCCACAGTACTACTTCGTTCTCTAGTGGTTAATTGGAGATTAACCTGCCTGGCCTGGCTTTGAACCGTGGTCCTCAGATCTCAGCCTCTTGAGTAGTTAGGATGACAGGCGTGAGCCACTGGCGCCTGGAAAGCAGGTTTTAAATAATCTTTTCCCCCCACCTGTCCTTTTTCCCTTTTTTCTCTTCATTTTCTCCTTTTTTCTCTTACCTATAATACGGTGTGTATTGTAAAGCAGATTTGAAAAAGCATGTGTAAAACATAAAATTCTTCTTTAGTTCTAGAGAACATTCTTTCTCTGGTTCCCTCCAGGTGCCCGGGGTGTTAGGTGGTAGAGCTGTTGTCGCACCGGGCACTGGGTGGAAGGCGGGTCTTTTATTTGGGGGGCGGGCTCCGGTGGTGGGTCCTGAACTCTGGGCCTGGGCACTGTCCCTCAGCTCTTCAGCTCAAGGCTAGCGCTCTGCCACTTGAGCCACAGCGCCACTCTGGCTTTTTTCTTTTTTCTTTTGTGGTGCTGAGGAATCGAACCCAGGGCCTCATGCATGCAAGGCAAGCGCTCTACCACTGAGCCACCTTCCCAGCCCCGGAAGGCGGGTCTTAGTGTGCCTGCCGACCCTGCCGTGGACCCTGCCAGCCGGGCTGGGGGGTTAGGGCTGACGCAGAGATGTCTGGTTTCCTCAGGGCAGGCAGGAAGATGCTGAGGAGTACTTAGGCTTCATCCTCAACGGGCTTCACGAGGAGATGCTGAGCCTGAAGACGCTCCTCTCACCACACAGCCAAAGTAAGTGATGGTGCGGTGTGGTGGAACGTGGGGTTGTACCGTGTGCCCGGCAGCTCAGTGCAGCAGACCCCCACCCCCACCCCCGCCCCGGAGGAGGCAGTTCCTCTGGAGATAGATAGGTGCTGCGTGCCTGGCGCACACATCAGAGCCATTCCCCAAGCTGCTTCTTTCCTCATAGAACACCTCACTGTTGGCACTGCCTGTCAGATACTCCTGAGAACGTTGCATTTAGATGAATTCAAGTTTATCGAGGGCCTGACACAGGGTAGGCAACTGGTCCTGCTAACCACATGCTGGCTTTGGCCGGGAGCACGGCGGATGCCTGTGTAACTAGTGGGCACTGCAGCTCTTAGCCAATTGTTGTTTCTTTGTGTATCTGCACACGCACTTGGCATGTGTACGCTTTTCTGAATGTTGTGCTCACCCCGGCATCTGTTCCTCAGAACCCCAGGCCCTAGCTAGGGGGAAGCAGCTAGCGCTCCACAGTACCAGCAGCTTCCTTTTGCTTCCTTGTGGTGTTTTTAAGACAGGGCCTCATCTTACTACACAGCCCATCCTGGTCCAAGAAAGAATCCTGCTGCCTCAGCCTCCCCAAAGTGCTGAGATTATAGGTGTATGCCACCGTGCCTGGCCTTTCTAAGACATGCACATGTATGTTGTGTTCGATTGCCATGTTTTCCATGTGGACCACTCCCAGACTCCAAGATAGCAGTTGGACATTGGTTTAGGTGTTGACAGAGAAGTTTTGTTTCCATTTTTCCTCTTTGTGTAAACAGTAACTAAAGCAGACTCTCTCCTTTCCAGAAGTGAGGATTTCCAATGGGCCCAGAAGCCAATTGGTAAATGAGGAGGAGCAGGAGGATCAAGGTGCAGGAAGTGAAGATGAATGGGAGCAGGTGGGTCCCAGGAATAAGACTTCCGTCACCCGCCAGGCCGACTTCATCCAGACGCCAATCACCGGCATTTTTGGAGGACACATCAGGTTTGTGCCATTGGGCTCTGAGGGGCTGCCTTCTGCTAAAGGGAAGGTATGCCTGCTGTTGGCTGGGCACTCTTGGCTTGCCCTTTGCTTGCCTGTAAGAGCGCCCCGCTACCCCGCTGCTCCCAGTGCCTGCTGGTGCTCTGCGGGACCACTGCCCAGGGCCCTGCGCCACACACACACTCCAGGTGCTAGCTCAGTGTGAGATGGTGAGAAAGGCAAGCTGATTGGTCAGAAGTGTTTGTTGGGGGCATTGCATTTATTATGAGATTGCATGTTTTGTTGTGTACAGATGCTATGAAAGGCAGGTCACTACAGAGAAGCAAGTGCTCATGGCTCTTCTCACATTTACCCGTTTGAGTGTGAGTGCAGTGCACTGTTACCTTCTGTAGTCTTCTAGTCACGTGCGCTCTGATCTACACTCCCATCTCCCTTCCACACCGTGCCCTGGTAGTCCTTGCGTTATTCTGTCTCTGTGTTTGACTTCTTGAATTCCACACATAGCATGAGCATACACTATTTTTCCATTTTTTAAATGTCTGTCCACATTGTGGCTAATGGCAATATCCTCCAGTCTGCCTTTTAAAGGTTGAATAGTATTCCACTGTCTGTGCACATCAGTTTCTTTATTCATTTTTCTGAGGATGGACACTTAGGTTGTTCTCATAACTTAACAGTGGTGGTGCATGTATTAGAGGAACTAGAAAGTGAAGTCTCCTGGAGCCGGGGCTGGCTTTGATTGAACTATGGTCCTCAGATCTCAGCATCTGGAGTAGCTAGGATTACAGGTGAGAGCCACCAGCACCTGGCTAAAAACAGAACTCTGAGTCAAGAGGCCCTCGTGATTTCTTCCCCCATTGTCCTTGCCACCCTGGTCGTCCTTCTTTGGAACCCAGGGAGCTTGTGTGGCTGGTGCTGGGGAGGATGCTGGCAGTGCTTGTTAACCTTTCTCCGGGTAAGCTGGCAGCCGGCTCTCCGTGGCGTCTGACCCGTGAAGCCTGAGCACCTGTCCACGCCCGTGCCTGCCGTCTGTACACAAGCTCACTCCAGCTGTAGGACAGAAGCCTTGTTGAGCTCTTGGAATGTTTTCTTGCTGAGGCTAAATGCAAGATGGGCCAAACATAGATTTTATTTTACCCAGAAAACTAAGAAAAAGAAAAATGAAATGGAATACTAGCTAAGAAAACAAAGTTGAATTGGCCTCTCTCTCCCTGGAGCGTTAACTTGTTTTTCTCATCGGGAGTCTGCTCCTCTTCCTTCGGTGTGTCATTCTTATAGGGGGAGCACCATTAAAAATATGCCGTTAACCTTGGAGATTTCCTCGGATTTGGTGAGGAGCTGTGGGAGTGAGAGCGCTGTGGGGTGGAGAGATTGGCTGGAGGTTAGAGCTGCAGGCTTATGTTCAGAGGATGGCATTCAGCAGGGTTTTTTTTTAATTAATTAACTAATTAATTATTTTGTGTCAGTCCTGGGGATTGAACTCTGGGCCTGGGTGCTGTCCCTCAGCTCTCCAGCTTAAGGCTCTACCACTTGAGCCACAGCGCCACTTCCGGCTTTTTCTGTTTATGTGGTGCTGAGGAATCGAACCCAGGGCCTCATGAGTGCCAGGCAAGCACTCGACCACTGAGCCACTTCCCAGCCCCTCAGTAGTTATTTTTAAGTTGGCATGTTTTTGGCTTTTCTGTCCTCTGGTCTGAAAGTGATCCTGAATGATCTTATTCCCAGAGTCTATGCTGCTTCTCCTTTGGTTACTTTTAAGGGTGTGGTGTCTTCAACGTTTTTGTTTTTACCCTCAACTCTTAGGTCTGTGGTTTACCAGCAGAGTTCAAAGGAATCTGCCACTTTGCAGCCGTTTTTCACGCTGCAGTTGGACATCCAGTCTGACAAGATCCGCACTGTCCAGGACGCACTGGAAAGCTTGGTGGCCAGAGAGTCTGTCCAAGGCTACACCACGAAAACCAAACAGGAGGTGTGTTCTGGCGTCAAGGCCCCTGCGGAGGCCCTGGGGAAGCGTTAGGGAGGAGGGGCTGGCCTGGCTTTTCTGGACTGATCATTTGCACGTGTTTAGGATGAAATGGTTGAAACAGTTGTTCCCCACAGTCACTTAGCTGTAATTCCTGTGACACTAGAATGCGCTCCTTCTGGGTCCGCAGCCCCACGTGGTTTCATTCTCTGGCAGCGGAGTTTCCCTGTCCTAGGCTGAGCACTGCTACAAGGCACACAGCACTGGCTCCTGCATGGGGCACAAGCACCGCTTTGACTAGCTGAATCAGGACTCCAGACACACCTGCTTTGCGCATGCTTGTAGATCTTCAGGAATTACAGACTGAAGGAGTGTGAGACACCTGGTGCTTGCTTAGTCTTCCTGTCCTCACCTTAGAGTAGTACTGGGCGAAGGATAGGGCAGTGCTGAGAGAGTTCCGGCTCCTGCTCTCCTCTCCCCACACTGTCCCATGTTCCGTGTCTGAGGTTGTGGCTGTGGGTTCATAAATGTGCTGGGAGGGAGAGCACAGGCCAGCTGGGGCTAGCGCTGCTTCGAGCCGGTCACAGTATTCTCGTGAAGTTGGGTTGATCACAGGCAGTGGTGCTTGCAGGTAATGTGTAGTGTGGCGACTGCTGACCCGGGCCAGGGTGGGCTCCAGTGGCAGAGCACCTCCAGGGTAACAGGACAGGCCTGCCCTTGTCCTCAGCTTGGGCTGAGTAAAGACCCAGGAGCCGGGCTAGGAAGGTGGCTCAGTGGTAGAGTGCTTGCCTTGCATGCATGAGGCCCTGGGTTCGATTCCCTAGCACCACATAAGCAAAAAGAAAAAAAGCCGGAAGTGGCGCTGTGGCTCAAGTGGTAGAGCACTAGCCCTGAGCTGAAGAGCTGA